TGGCACCTAGTCTTAGGGTAGGTGCTCTAGCTGCGACATGTACTCCTCGTCGGCCTCTGCCTCTGCCTTTAGCAACACCTGCTCTTGGAGCAGCATCATCGATAACTGCAGATCGTGTCCTCACAATCTGTGAGATAATGGGATGAGAAAAGTTCAAACTCCGAGATCAATAAGCTCGCACGATAGGAATGAAAGAAGTGAGATTATCCTAATAGTTCTGTAGCCTCTCGAAGATAAGTACAGACGTGTCTGTAGCGATTCGCAAGACTCTACTAAACTTGCTTATGACTCGTAGCACCTATGAACCTGGAGCTCTGATACCAACTTGTCACGATCCAATTTTCCCTCCGTTGGGTTTCGTGATCGCACCTAGTCTTAGGAACTAGGTAAGCCTAACATTTACTGAATATCAACCATGATAAAGAAAGTCTAATAGTCTCAATATAGAAATCTTTATAGAATTTACATCTTCCCAAAACCGGCGGTACAAGTCACAAGCTCTACAGAGTTTCGCTACAACTTCTAAACACAACTGTATGGAAATAAGTACAACAGTGTGAATACAAAATAGGAAGGTGACTCCGAAGCCTGCGAACGCAGCAGGGTTACCTTGAGTCTCCTCGGCAAGAATCCGCACAGCTACTAACGAACAACACCTAGATCTACACAAAAATATGCAGAAATATAGTATGAGCATACCACAGCAGTGCCCAGTAAGTATCAAGACTAACCTCGGTGGAGTAGTGACGAGGAACTGTCAGGACGCCTACTGGTCTAATAAGCTGAACAAGTATAAAAAAGAAACAACCGAACATGATATCTATATAAAGACGACGTGATGTGGTTAACAATACGGTAATTGCAATAAGGAAAGAAAACATCAAGTAACATCGGGACACCATAATAAGAACACAGAAAAGTGAATGGAAATACAACCCAAATCCGAGATCACAAATACAGTAAAGATAAGTCATAACTTAGCAACTACGGTAGTTTTCACATTAGGTCTTAGCCAACAAACTTCAATCAGTTAGGCAAATCCTTCAATTGATAAAATATTTCGAAATATACTTCCTTCAAATAAATATTTTTCAAAAATAGTTCTTTCAAAATAAATACCTTTCGAATATAATCTTTCCAAATAAATATCCATCGAATATAAGTCACCCTGTGACACCTCATCTCATAATCATACAATACGGGTCTCCATAACTGAACCTTAACACTTGGCATCTTGTGCCCTCATCACACCTCATAATCATACGGGCAACTCACGTGCCAAATAGAGCCATTTTAACATGGAAGGCAAATAAACAAGGGTGTGCGTCTATACTCAGCAATATCAAGAAGCCTCTTATCCGATAAGGGTGATTAGCCACGTGTATGCTTGTGCAAGTGTCCTAACATAATTCAAACCAGCTAGTAAGCATAAGGAAAAGAACGGATAGCACGTAGAATATTTACGGGGATACGATCAATGAAAAGCAACAGCTCAGAACACATCGATAATAATAGGGGATCTCCCAGGATACCATCTCGTAGTCCCAAACGTAAATGTGCAGGGAGGATCTACCGGAATACTGTTCCGTAGTCCCAAAGTAAATATGCAGAACAGGGGGGATCTACCGGGATACTGTCCCGTAGTCCCAAACGTAAATGTGCAGGGGGATCTACCGGAATACCGTTCCATAGTCCCAAAGTAAATATGCAGAACATGGGGATCTCCCGGGATATCGTCCCGTAGTCCCAAACATAAACGTGCAGGGGGATCTCCTGGAATACCGTTCCGTAGTCCCAAAGTAAATATGCAGAACATGGGGATCTACCGGGATACCGTCCCGTAGTCAAAAACATAAACGTGCAGGCGGATCTCCCGGAATACCGTTCTGTAGTCCCAAAGTAAATATGCAGAACAGGGGGATCTACCAGGATACCGTCACGTAGTCCCAAACATAAACGTGCAGGGGGATCTCCCGGAATACCATTCCGTAGTCCCAAAGTAAATATGCAGAACAGGTGGATCTACCGGGATACCGTCCGTAGTCCCAAAGTAAATGTGCAGCGCAACCAACAAAAATAATAGTTACAGCACGGCAGAAACCTCGTACATCACCACAACAAGTACAACAGCAAAAATGACAATAATACAAAGTACGACAAGTAAATCAACTCAAGAACTTTAAATCACAAAGAAACGGTAGAACCAGTTCACAAGGAATAACCACAGTAAAGAATACTAGGCATAAAAGGAACAGTTCAACAAGGAAAACTAATACGTAGCAGCGATCCTACATTATACAAGTCAACAATAAAGAAGTCAACACGAGTCCAATAGTCCCAAAGAAAGGCAAGTCAATTAAGATATAGGTTATCTAAACTCCTTTTAAGGTTGAGCAATTTGCGAAAGATACTCAACAAGTCAATTAATGGTAGGCAGCAGAAGATAATCATAACTCCAATTAAGACTAAACAATTATATGATGAGGTAGTAATAATTTCATTAAGATAAAAAGTTGTGAAAAGATGGCATGACGATAGAAGAGGCAAAATCTTCAGCTAAGTCAAATAAGAGTCAAATAGTCAATAAGAGTGAATCCTAAGGCAATTAATTCTAATGGAAGCATGTAGAAGTGAAACCAGCAAATAGGAACTCAAAAGTATCACGAACAACTTCATACACAGTGAATATAAGGACCTACGAACCCTAAGGGACAACTACCACAAATAAGTCCGAGCACGCACTCGTTACCTCGCGTACACGATTTACAATTAACATAGAAGACTCCATTCCTAAGGGGAAGTCCCCCACACAAGGTTAGGAAAGATACTTACTTCAAAGACGACAAACCGATACTCTAAAATGCACTTCTCGGGTGAAAAAGACCTCCGGACGGCTCAAATCTAACCAAATTAACTTCAAAGCACAAATAAAACTCATAAGAAACTATTCCGGATCATAAAGTATCAATCTCTAACAAAATCCAAAAATCGGTCCAAAAGTCGACCCCCGGGCCCGCACCTCGAAACCCGACAAATTTTACAAAAATCGAATACCCATTCCGATACGAGTTCAACCATACAAAATTTATTAAATTTCGATACCATTTGGTCCCCCAGATCATCATTTTTCATTTTGAAAACTTTCTTAAAAAACCAACCATCTTCTCAACTCAAAACACAAATCAAATGATAGAGATGAAGATAAAATCATGGAATATGTTAGATACTAGGTGAGAACACTTACCCAATCGATTTTCTTGAAAACCTAGAAAGAAGCTCTCAAAATCGAAGTCCAAAACTCAAAATATGAAGAAAATGGCCAAACCCTCGATTTAAAGGATTCTGCCAGGACTTCTGCATCTGCGGACACTTAAGCGCATCTGCCCTACTGCATTTGGGGGCAGACGTTCGCATTTGCGAACTTTACTTACAGACCGAGGTCCGCATCTGCGGACAATTGGCCGCATCAGCGCCACCGCAGAAGCGATAACAAGAGCGCAAAAGCGGACTCCTTCGCAGATGCGATAGACCAACCGTAGAAGCGGTTTCGCACCTGCGTTCCAACATTCGCAGAAGCGGGCTAGCTTCCAGGCCTCAAAGCTACCAGATGCGATCAGGCTCACGCAGAAGCGGAGCCGCACCTGCGCTCCAAGGTCGCAGGTGCGAAAACACCAGAAATCAGACATGTTCCAAAACCATGCAAAATATCCGAAACTCGTTCGAAATACACCTGAGGCCCCCGGGACCCCGTCTACACATATAAAAAAGTTCTATAACCTAACAAGAACTTGCTCGAGTTCTCAAATCACATCAAACAACGCCGAAAATGCAAATTTCGCCATGAATCGAGCTTATGAACTTCCAAATCTTCCAACTTCTAGAACCCGCGCCGAAACCTATCAAATCAACTCGGAACAACGCCAAATTTTGCACACAAGTCCAAATGACAAGACGGAGCTGTTCCATCTCTCAGAATCGCATTCCGACCCCGATATCACAAAATTCAACTGTGGGTCAAACTTCTCCATTTTCCAAACTTCAACTTTTCCAATGTTCGCCGAAATGCCTCAAATTACCCTACGGACCTCCAAATCCGAATTCGGACGCGCGCCTAAGTCCAAAATCACCATACGAAGCTATTGAGATCATCCAAAACCCATTTCGGAGCCGTTTACTCCAAAGTCCGATTCTGGTCAAATTCTCACCGCTTAATCTTCCAAAACTAGAATCCTTCTTCCAATTCAATTCTGAACCTCCGGTAACTGAATTCAACCATGCTCGCAAGTCGATAAACATAATATGAAGCTTCTCAAGACCTTATGCCGCTGATCGAAACTTAAATTCTCAAAACGATCGGCTGGGTTGTTACAACATATAAATGAGTATTAATTTATGGGATGGTTCACTCGGGTCGGGTAGAATACCGAGTGTCGGTCACATGGTTTTAGGGCGTGATAACAACCCTAACCAAATCATCAATAGTTCAAAATATTTGGTCCTCCATTGAAGACCTCTGGATGAAAGCACCAATGTAATAACTCCAAAATATAAATTATATTGATGGTAGTAACTAAAAGTTACAACTTAAAGACGTAGAACAACATTAATGGAAATATAAAATGCAGAAGTTAAGTAATATAGAAGAAAACCAAAGAAGGGGATGAGAAGCTAGACTCAGAATTAGGGATGATAGAAGAAAACCAAAGAAGAGGATGAGAAGCTAGACTTAGAATTGGGGATGAGAGGACTTAGACACTTTACTCAACAATAATTAGCTCCTCTCACCAGTAAAGATGACTGACACGGCACTACAGTATGCTATGTTGTACTTGAAAGAGATTGCAAGACTTCATGGTATTCTAGTTTCCATCATATCTGATAGAGGGCCCCAGTTTACTACTCATTTTTGGCGGTCCTTTCAAGAATGATTGGGTACAAGTGTCAATTTGAGTACCGCTTTTCATCCACAAACCGACGGGCAGGTTGAGAGGACTATTCAGATGCTTGAGGATATGTTGCGAGCTTGTGTCCTTGATTTTGGTGGGATTTGGGATGAACACTTACCACTGATTGAGTTTGCCTACAATAATAGCTATCATGCTAGTATCCAGATGGATCGCTATGAGGATTTGTACGGACGACATTGTAGATCACCTATTGGAAGGTTTGAGCCGACTGAGGTAGGACTACTTGGTCCGGATCTTGTACATGATGCCTTAGAGAAGGTAGCTTTGATTCAAAAAATGACTTAAGACTGCTGAGAGCCGACAAAGATGCTATACATATGCACGTCGACGTAAGTTGGAGTTTAAAGAGGGTGATCAAGTGTTCTTGAAGGTATCGCCAATGAAGGGGGTTATGAGATTTGGGAAGAAGGGCAAGCTAAGCCCTATATTCATTGGTCCATATCGAATCCTGAAAAGGATTGGTAAAGTAGCCTACAAGCTGGAGCTACCTACATCAATGACTTTGGTTCATCCTGTTTTTCATGTATCGATGTTACGGGGGTATGTGCCCGATCCTGTTCACATCATCTTACCGGAGGTAGTAGAGATAAATGACGGTTTAACTTATGACGAAGAACCGGTTGAGATTCTTGATAGGCAAATCCGTAGGTTGAGGACTAAAGACATAGCTTCAGTTAAAGTGTTATGGCGTAATCATGGCGTTGAAGAGGCTACTTGGGAGGTCGAGGAGGATATGAAAATCCGATACCCCCACTTGTTCGCGACTTCAGGTATGACTGTTTCCTTGAAATTTCGAGTTTGGAGTTTATCATGATTTAGTTCCATGGAGCGAGTAAGCAATTTATCTATCTTACTTATTACTCCCTCCGTTCCAATTTATGTGAACCTGTTTGACTGGGCACGGAGTTTCAGAAAAAATAAGACTTTTGAAATTTGTGATCCTAAACAAGTCAAAAAGGGCCCCAGAGTATTTGTGTGGTTGTAAAAGCTTCCCATTAAGGGTAGAATTGTAAGTTTAAGCTAAATTGTTACCAAATTTAAAAAGGGTTCATTCTTTTTGGAACAGACCAAAAAAGAAATAGGTTCACATAAACTGGAACAGAGGGAGTAGTTGGGATTCAGTACGATTTTCTTATGTGGGTGACTTATCTATTGGGCATGGTTGTTAGACTTGTCTCATAGGAATAGATTTTATTATTGTGATGACGAGAGAGGCTATGTAATGGTGTTTAGAGGTATATGAAGCCCCGAGGCATTCATTGATGTAGCTGTAATGAATAGAGTTGTGTGTGGCCTTTTATATTGTGTTCTTATGGCTCGCTATCAGGTTGAAATTTTGGGATAAGCCTATTAACAAAGAAAACTATGCCGAATTTTTTTTTTAAAATTTGGAGAGTTGGTCAAATTTTGAATCCTTAAGAGTCGAGGAGTAAGGAGAGACATGGAGATTACACTTTTGGACTTTAATATGACCAAGGATTTGCGTTCGAGGACGAATGCTTCTAAGTGGGGGTGAATGTAAAGCCCCGTGAATTTTCATAATTAATTCGGGTTAATTTTGAGCATAAGGATGTAATTTGAGTAAATTCGAACCACATGAGAGTAAGAAAATAATACAAGGTTAATAAAATGCGTAAGGGTAATTACTTTATCAAGTAATTTGAGTATAAATCTCATGGAAGCTAATAAGGGAACAAAAAAGGAAATGGAAACAAAGAGTTACATTGGCTAAGAAAAGTCCTCTAGCACACTTGGAAAATATATTAAACTAAGGAGTGAATTGTTAGGCTAATTAACGTACAAAGGTATTAAATGATTCATGGAATACTTGGATACTATTTTATTTATATTCCATGTATAAGTGTTGAACCAAGGTGAAAACAAGGAAACCAAATGAAAAGTTACAGGGATCGGCGCTAATAAGCATGCGTCGCATCCCCATAGCCTCTGAATGTTGCAATTGCCAAATGTTAGGCAGTGTAATGAGCAGAACGCGTGCAAGTTGGCGTCTGAATTTGAAACCAATACCTGAAGCCTTGTAAAGGCAATTACGGGAAGACTAATTCTTTATCTTAGGCTTTGCCTTTGATGACTTAGACAGAGAAAGGAGTCCCATAACATTAATGCATCTTCAAGGTAAGAATTAAATGCCCTCCTGTGGTAGATTTGGTCCATTTATTTCATCTCTTAACCCTCCAACATCATGGAATTCATAGATTTTTGAAGAAAATCTCAAGAGCACTTCAAGAACACAAATGTTGAAACTTTTAGGGTTTGACAAAGAGGTAATTTCTTCACTCCAAAATTATATAACTCCATGGGCGGAGTAGTGTATGTTTATGAAGATAGATTTGTATTTAAACATCTATTTATGAAACCCTAGAAGAGTTGGTTGGTAGGGATGATTAATAGTGTTGGGTCTTGTTTGAACAATGTTATTTTGAGCTTCTAGTAGAACGACTAGATCTCATAATATGTTTAATGAAGGATATGGAGTTAAAATTCAAGGATTTACCTTCAAATGATGAAATGGGATTTCCGCTAAACTTATGAAATTGGACTTGAAGTGTTAGACACTTAGTTGGGTTAGTTGATATTGTTGTGACACGTTAATAAATTATGTGAGTTCTATATGTAGATTGTGACTCGTCGGCATTATTGGATCATTTGGGGTAAGGTTGGAAGTAATTTGAGGTACGTTGAAACTTATTACCTTCGGAGCTTTTCTCCAAACTCATATCGAAACACGATTAAATTGAGTTTCTAAATGTAAGTCCTAGCTTGTGGGGACGAGCGAGTTGGGATTGTACCATTTCTTGCATCATAAAAGATTTGAGTGTTATGAATATTATTTTCTTGAAATGGATTCAAATTTTAAAACTAAATAGATGAGGAGTAGTACTTGTAGTATTTTTTTGAAACGGAAATACATGAGTTGTGAAATATCTTGGATTTAACTATTCTCAAATAGTTGATTTGGCTATGAATATCGTCATTGATAAATGTAAAGGTTTTGGGGGTTACTTAAGTTCACTGAGAAAGACCTTGAATAATTTTCCTCATTCGGTCATGAAACTACACATGCCGGTGTAGGCGTAGAACCCACCTTACGGTTGGGAACAACAGCAGAGTACTTCCCATTATGGGGTACTATTGTGCTACTTTATTAGCACGACTGAGTCGATTCGTGCGGCACAACGATGAGACGACCTGAGCAAGTAAGGTATATGGTACTTGCCGCTAGGTACATAACCTAGTTAACTTTTCTTCGTGTCAGTGATGGTATAGTGCTTCCGGTAAATGAAAAATCTAACATGATTTTGTAAAGATTAATGCTAAAGGAAGACATTGAAATATGTTTTATCTTATTATTTTATTTTATTTTCTAAATTGTTAATTGATATAAATGCTTCTTTCTTATATCAGCTGTTATTACATATCTTATATCTTCTTAAGGCTTGTCCTATATTTTTTGTTGGGGAACAGTTCATGATTCGTACTAGGCATGTGGAGCTTAGGCCTTTCGGCCATATTTACATTTTTATTTTTAGGGACTGGACCCGAGCAGCTTGGACCGCGTGGATAGGGCAGCTCTATATTTTCTGTTGATACTTTTGGTGAGACTCCACCCTTGCACCCATGGAGGACTTTATTATATTATTATTCTTTTGAGCCACCGGGTTATGCCTTGGTTGGCTAAGTTATCCCGTGTCATAGAGATTTCATAGACAATAGTAGTATCCATTTTTGGGTTGTAATCCTATGATTACTCATATGGCATGCATGAATGAAACTTTCTTTTATCTTCATGGAGTTTTCTTTTGAAGTAAAATATTTGCTTAAAGATAATTTTTTTATGTTTTGGTTTATATCTTAAAATGATTGTATTTGAAGAGGCTTTCAACCCCCCCCCCCCCCCCCC